ATGTCAACCTTTGTATGTGTTTCAATAACTAGCCAGCTACAACCAAGTTAACAAAAATGCGCTGTGGATCAAATGATTCAGGAACTTAATGAATGATGATTTAACATGCTAGCTGGGAAGGCTGGCACGCTTTGCCATCGCGGAATTATGAGCGCAAGAGAGGTTCAGCAAATCAGATTCAGTAACAAGCTGACCACACCGCTCGCGCACATGTTGATTTTGTCCACCAACACCAGACGCGATCAGGACACGCAATCAATCACGTGGGTATCTGCTCCTAAAAACCAATGAGGAGATGGGAGAGGCGGGACTTGTAGTGCGTCAAGCGTCACAAATAGAACACATTCTATTTTAGCGCCTGGCTACGCAGATGCTCGTTGACGTGCACGAGCAGTGTAGGTGCAATCAACAAGGCAGGTCCTACAGGCCCTAGGTTTGTCGCACCTGGACTACTGTTCAATCGTGTGGTCAGGTGCCACAAAAAAAGGGACAAATTGCAATTGGCTCAGAACAAGGCTGCCTAGAAGGTCAGCATCCCGGAGTCGCCTCTTCACTGTTGACGTTGAGACTGGTGTTTTGCCGGTACTATTTAATGAAGCTGCCAGTTGAGGACCTGTGAGGCCAATTTCTTGATATGAAAAGCCGATAAGTAAAATTGCCGGCCAATTGTCCGGGAAAAAAATTATAATCTATTGCTAAATTATGCATTTGAGCCTATTCATTGATTGAAATACCAGTCGATGTAGTGTGAGCGCTCAAACAACTTTGTTGCTGCTGGATTGAAACATGCTTTAATATGCCCAATCATTGTGCAATTCTAAAGGCAATCGCCTGTAAAAGAACGATGGCCACGATTAAAAAGAGCTACTATTTTTATTTCTCAACTGGTAATTGAAGCACGCTTCCCATTCACCATTCAAGTGCATAGACAACTAGGCAGGCTTCAGCTTGCCACACACCACTTTGCAATGTGCTGGAGGCAGTATGCATTTTGAAAATATATACTTAATTGTGTGAAACCTGAACGTTTTACTACATATTATGATGCATGTCTTACCTTGCTTCAAAGTAGCAAAACGTGCAGGCAATTATTTTATAGTCATCCATATGCCATTGAAACCAGTAGCCTTTTTCTCTCATGTTCTATTGGTTTTCAAATCAACTTTCTTTCATTGTCCAGTAGCCAAAGGCACAATCCAAGTCATATTAGCTACCAATGCTAGTTGTTGCATATTTAGATCTTCCCTCTTTCTAACAGATATTTTAATCTCTGTCGCATGAAACCACTCACAATGGTGTTTTCCCACTATGTGCATTCTGGAATGAACATGTGCGTGTAGCCTACTGCCTTGTGTGCATTGCTGCGCTTATAATGTGAAGAAATAATAGTTTATCAGCATTTTATGCTAAACGTTCTGATCTGTTGCATGAGCCTCATTGCTTTTTAACGTTTTTTGGATGTAGCCTAGGCCTACTGGTTGTATGAATTTGGGATCTATCGTCCTTCAACGGTCCAAGAGTCTGTTTGGAATAGGCTATTTCTTTCTCGCACAGAACGACAAGCTGACCAATAGAATAGGTCAACTTTTCTACTATGGGGGATAGTAGATTGACATAGGCTAGTGATTTTGCTGTTCGTTGCTCATCTTGTTAGCTGAGGAAAAGTAAATGTGGGCAGTTATTTTAACATAGGCAGTTTTAAGTTTGGGGAAGCTAATTTTCACCATAAAAATGCACCTTTATTATAAAGCATTCCATGCATCCTCGCATTTGCAGACTTATGTATGTACAGTGAGGGAAAAAAGTATTTGATCCCCTGCTGATTTTGTACGTTTGCCCACTGACAAAGACATGATCAGTCTATAATTTTAATGGTAGGTTTATTTGAACAGAGAGAGACAGAATAACAACAACAAAGAAAAACAGAAAAACGCATGTCAAAAATGTTATAAATTGATTTGTATTTTAATGAGGGAAATAAGTATATGACCCCTCTGCAAAACATGACTTTGTACTTGGTGGCAAAACCCTTGTTGGCAATCACAGAGGTCAGACGTTTCTTGTAGTTGGCCACCAGGTTTGCACACATCTCAGGAGGGATTTTGTCCCACTCCTCTTTGCAGATTTTCTCCAAGTCATTAAGGTTTCGAGGCTGACATTTGGCAACTCGAACCTTCAGCTCCCTCCACAGATTTTCTATGGGATTAAGGTCTGGAGACTGGCTAGGCCACTCCAGGACCTTAATGTGCATCTTCTTGAGCCACTCCTTTGTTGCCTTGGCCGTGTGTTTTGGGTCATTGTCATGCTGGAATACCCATCCACGACCCATTTTCAATGCCCTGGCTGAGGGAAGGAGGTTCTCACCCAAGATTTGACGGTACATGGCACCGTCCATCGTCCCTTTGATGCGGTAAAGTTGTCCTGTCCCCTTAGCAGAAAAACACCCCCAAAGCATAATGTTTCCACCTCCATGTTTGACGGTGGGGATGGTGTTCTTGGGGTTATAGGCAGCATTCCTCCTCCTCCAAACACGGCGAGTTGAGTTGATGCCAAAGAGCTCGATTTTGGTCTCATCTGACCACAACACTTTCACCCAGTTCTCCTCTGAATCATTCAGATGTTCATTGGCAAACTTCAGACGGGCCTGTATATGTGCTTTCTTGAGCAGGGGGACCTTGCGGGCGCTGCAGGATTTCAGTCCTTCACGGCGTAGTGTGTTACCAATTGTTTTCTTGGTGACTATGGTCCCAGCTGCCTTGAGATCATTGACAAGATCCTCCTGTGTTGTTCTGGGCTGATTCCTCACCGTTCTCATGATCATTGCAACTCCACGAGGTGAGATCTTGCATGGAGCCCCAGGCCGAGGGAGATTTACAGTTATTTTGTGTTTCTTCCATTTGCGAATAATCACACCAACTGTTGTCACCTTCTCACCAAGATGCTTGGCGATGGTCTTGTAGCCCATTCCAGCCTTGTGTAGGTCTACAATCTTGTCCCTGACATCCTTGGAGAGCTCTTTGGTCTTGGCCATGGTGGAGAGTTTGGAATCTGATTGATTGATTGCTTCCGTGGACAGGTGTCTTTTATGCAGGTAACAAGCTGAGATTAGGAGCACTCCCTTTAAGAGTGTGCTCCTAATCTCAGCTCGATACCTGTATAAAAGACACCTGGGAGCCAGAAATCTTTCTGAATGAGAGGGGGTCAAATACTTATTTCCCTCATTAAAATGCAAATCAATTTATAACATTTTTTACATGCGTTTTTATGGATTTTTTTGTTGTTATTCTGTCTCTCACTGTTCAATTAAACCTACCGTTAAAATTATAGACTGATCATTTCTTTGTCAGTGGGCAAACGTACAAAATCAGCAGGGGATCAAATACTTTTTTCCCTCACTGTAAGATAGCCAATGCCTACTATTCCTAATGTGATGATTAGATTTGATAGTCATAATATTTTGCTAATAATATAACTAAATCATTGTTCACAAAAAAAGACTGTTCAATGCAGCGCGCAGTGGCTTAGAGTAGGACTAGGTTATAGGCCGGTGGTTCTCAACTGGTTTTGCCTCGGGACCCAAATTGAAGCAGTTTGTCTCAGTCGTGACCCAATATTTGCATCGCGAAAAATAATCGCCAAAATAGAATCTCGAAAACTATTGTTACTGCTGTATTGATAGTAAATGTAGCAATTATATGACAAGGGAACAACATTCCCACCTCTTTCATTGTCAATAATAAAATGTTGCCCATATTATTGATGAAGAATGCTAATAAACCCACTGGCTTGAGACCACAAAATCAAACAAAATAGGGCTGCTAATAACACTATATTGAAAAAACTGTGATTGAAGAAATTATTTTTTGAAATAAAATTATAAAAAATTGTATGTTCATTATAATTTCTACCTGTTTTAAGTCGTTTAAGTTCAGACTGGATAATTTTTTCATAAAAACAAAACCCCAAAAAAAGTTTACAAATAATTACAATAATAATCAGACACCTCAAAACCTCTTTGGGTCACGACCCACCAGTTGAGAATCGCTGCTATAGGCTATATCAGAGTTACACGGTAGCCTACTCTGCTGACACTGGCAAACAGATCAATAAAAACGACATTGTCTGATCCATATATTAGGCCTATGAAAAGGAGAGACACAAATACAATATGACATCCATCTAAACTGAAGGAGGAAATTATTGTCCGCGGATATGGCCAATATTCTCTGCTGGTGCCAATAAGATAGGCTACTTTTCGCTCAATTAAGTTGAACATTTTCATAACTAAAAGACAGATTGGAGTCTTTTCATTGTCTTCTCTTTACAGCAATAGCCATTTGTTTTCCAAACAGTTTTTCTGCGATTGTATTTTTAAATATTGTGATATGCCTGGCTGGGTCTCTCTGCTTTTCACTGACAGTCGCAAATCATCAATCACACAATTTGCGGGCCCTTCCGACTGTAGGCTATGCGATTTAAAACAATCCACAGCTTTTTATTTTTAAATAAGCTAATGATCCTCTGTGGCAAAATCATGCTTTCTGGTGTAGTAGCCTATTTTGAATGATTTTATTTATTTCTACATAGACAGTAAGCTAATTGGAAATTCAATTTACTTTTGGGAAAGCTTAGCTTCCCCTAGCCTTATGGATGTATTCTAACATCTTCAAATTGCTCATGGGAATTCGGTAAGAACGAAGCACCCCGTTGCATGTTCTGTTAAGATGAATGACCATAGACTAAATGTGTTTTCTGTCATTCTGTGAACCGTGGGTGGACACCCTAATCATGTTACGCAACCAATGCATATGGGTCCGGTACATTTCTTAAGTGTCCGGTAAGTTCAAATGCTGCCAGGCAAATGTCCGGCGCCACATTTTCATAATGGAAACCCTGCCTGAACCTCTTCATAATTTTTTGTCTCTTGATGTCTCTCATAGTTGACAGCCCACCGACGACAGCTGTGCAAGGAGCGACAGTGTGCGTGCAAGGACTGTGGCATGGTATTGCGGGGCCCAAACCAGTTACGCACCCACCGCCTCACCCAGCACCTCCAGCTGCTGGAAGAGGAGGATGATGACACCAAGACTCACCGTTGTGGCAAGTGCGGCCGCGGGTTTGAGATGGAGGTGGAGCTTGTGCTGCACCAGGAGAACTTTGCGGGTGATCAGCATTGCGATGCAAAAGTCCCGGCCAAAATACGCGGCCGCCTTCCCAAGAAAGTGTCTGAGGCTGAGCCAAAGTCTGCTGAGGGAGAGGCAGCTAATGGAGAGAAGAGTGGAAAAGACGAGGAGAGGGTAGAGGAGTTTGTGGCAAAATGAGGGAAACGACCGGGTCTACCCCATAAGGAGGAGCTCCAAATTCCCTGTCCTGAAGCTGAGTGTGACCTCACGTTCTCCTCTGTTACCCTTCTCTGGGCCCACAAGAAGGAGAAGCACAGGCGGCCGCCTCCACCTCGCAAGACTCACCCCTGCTCTGAGTGCGAAGAAAGCTGTGCTCGACCGGAGCAGCTCAAAGCCCACATGGCCAGGGCTCACGGCTCTGGCTGACACAACTGCCCCACCTGCGGCAATACCTTTGGCCGGAAGAGCAACCTAAAGGCACACCAGAAGACCCACACTGAGGGAGAAGAGGCAACAGACAAAGATTTGGGTGGGTTTTTTATGTTAAAGATGGGAGTTTGGAGTATGTGACATACCATTATGCAGAAGCACTCAGTTGGATCATTATCTTGTTCCTGGTTGCTCCCACTGTGGAAATTTTTAAGTGCTTTTAGAAAAACAAAAAATGTACTGTATATAAAACCCTCTAATGATGTGTACATAGATGGCGTAGCAGTGCGGTCGTGTTCTCTTTTGTGTGTCCGTGTAAATAGCCAGTTTTTTTTTGTATTTTACGTATATATTTCCCTATCACACTTTTCATCCTTCTACTAAATATACTTTCCTGCAACCCGCCTCACTCAATGTGGAACGGAAACTATTATTTACTCACCTTTATCTAGAATCTCCAGTTGAAACTAGTTAGCCAGCTAACTAGCTACTTGCTATTAGCCACCGTTAGCGGTTTTCACCCAGAACATCGGATTTTCTGCCGGAATAACTGAATCACTGGACCTTAACACCGGATCGCAACTAGCTAGCTGCAACTGAATGGATGTTGCTGTAGGCTAATCACCACTGCCCCCAAAGCAAGCACCAGCTAGCCTCGAGCCAGGCCCATATCCCGGCTATCTACCTCTCTGTCTACCGGACGGGGGTAGCCAGCTAACTAGCTACTTGCTATTAGACACCGTTAGCGGTTTTTCACCATTGTCCGTGGCCTGCACTACCTACCAGCCAGCTCTAACCTGGACTATTATCGGCCAGTCTGCACAGTGCGTTATCGACCCAAAACATATCGGATTTTCTGCCAGAATCACTGGACCTTTAATACCGGATCATCGCAACTAGCTAGCTGCAACCAAATGGATGTTGTTGTTGGCTAATCAGCCTTGAGCTAGCTTCGAGTCAGGCACATCTCCCGGCTATCTACCTCTCTGTCAACCGGACGGGACCTCCTAGAGTCGACACGGAGCCCCGCCGCTCCATCACGACTGGTCTGCCGACGTAATCGTCTGTAAATTCAACAGGCTTCCCGTTGCGACGACCACGAAGATCCATCTGCTAGCCCCGGCCCGCTAGCACACGCAAACAACAGCCGTGCTTCCTGCTCGCTGTGCTGTAGCGCCAATTCGAACTGCTCTCGGACTCACATATTGCTGTTCACTGGACCTTATGATCACTCAGCTGCACAGCTGATGCCTGCTGGACTGTTCCTTTACACGGTACCCTGTCCTGTTTATCTGTTTAGCCTCAGCCCAAACTTTAATCGCCATTACCAGATGTTGTCTTAGCTCTCTCTAATAACACCTGTGATTGCTTTATGCCTCTCTCCCATGTCAATATGCCTTGCCTATTGCTGTTCCAGTTAGTTCTTATTATACAATTTCACTGTAGAGCCCCAAGTCCCTCTCAAACTGCCTCAAATAGTTCCTTTGTTCCACCCCCCATACACACGGAGACCGGCTCAATCGGTGCCTCCAGTGATGCTATCTCTTTCATTGTTACCCAACGCTTAAGTTTACCTCCACTGTACCCATATCCTTCCATATCCTTGTCTGTTCATAATGCACTGAATCTATTCTACAACGCCCGGAAATCTGCCCCCTTTATTCTCTGTACCCAACGCACTAGAAGACCAGTTCTTAAAGCCTTTAGCCGTATCCTTATCCTAGTCCTCCTCTGTTCCTCTGGTGATGTAGAGGCTAACCCAGGCCCTGCAGTCCCCAGTATCACTCCTACTCCCCAGGAGCTATCATTTGTTGACTTCTGTAACCGTAAAAGCCTTGGTTCTCTGCACGTTAACATCAGAAGCCTCCTTCCTAAGCTTGAGTTATTCACTGCGTTAGCACACTCCGCCAACCCTGATGTTCTAGCAGTGTCTGAATCCTGGCTTAGGAAGGCCACCAAAAATTCAGAAATGTCCATCCCCAACTACAATATTTTCCATCTAGATAGAACTGCCAAAGGGGGCAGAGTTGCAATCTACTGTAGAGATAGAGCTCTGCAGGCTATCATACTATCCAGGTCTGTACCTAAACAGTTTGAGCTCCTACTTCTAAAAATCCACCTTTCCAGAAATAAGTCTCTCACTGTTGCCGCTTGCTACAGAACACCCTCAGCCCCCAGCTGTGCCCTGGACACCATATGTGAATTGATTGCCCCCCATCTATCCTCAGAGTTCATACTGCTTGGTGACCTAAACTGGGATATGGTTAACACCCCGGCCATCCTACAATCCAAACTAGATGCCCTCAATCTCACACAAATTATCAAGGAACCTACCAGGTACAACCCTAAATCCGTAAACATGGGCACCCTCATAGATATCATCCTGACTAACTTACCCTCTAAATACACCTCCGCTGTCTTCAACCAGGATCTCAGTGATCACTGCCTTATTGCCTGCGTCCGTAACGGGTCCGCGGTCAAACGACCACCCCTCATCACTGTCAAACGCTCCCTAAAACACTTTAGAGAGCAGGCCTTCCTAATTGACCTGGTCCAGGTATCCTGGATGGATATCGATCTCATTCCATCAGTAGAGGATGCCTGCTTGTTCTTTAAAAGTGCTTTCCTCTCAATCTTAAATAAGCATGCCCCATTCCAAAAATGCAGAACTAAGAACAGATATAGTCCCTGGTTCTCCTCAGACTTGACTGCCCTTGACCAGCACAAAAACATCCTGTGGCGTACTGCATTAGCATCGAATAGCCCCCGCGATATGCAACTCTACAGGGAAGCTAGGAACCAATATACACAAGCAGTTAGGAAAGAAAAGGCTAGCTTTTTCAAACAGAAATGTGCATCCTGTAGCACTAACTCCAAAAAGTTTTGGGACACTGTAAAGTCCATGGAGAATAAGAGCACCTCCGTCCAGCTGCCCACTGCACTGAGGCTACGAAACACTATCACCACCGATAAATCTACAATAATCGAGAATTTCAACAAGCATTTTGCTACGGCTGGCCATGCTTTCCACCTGGCTACCACTACCCCGGCCACCAGCTCTGCACCCTCCGCTGCAACTTTCCCATGCCCCCCCCCCGCTTCTCCTTCACACAAATTCAGACAGCTGATGTTCTGAAAGAGCTGCAAAATCAGGACCCCTACAAATCATCTGGGCTAGACAATCTGGACCCTTTCTTTCTAAAATGAGCCGCTGAGATTGTCGCAACCCCTATTACTAGCCTGTTCAACCTCTCTTTCGTAACGTCTGAGATCCCCAGAGATTGGAATATCTCACTGGTCATCCCCAAAGCCAACACCTCCTTTGGCCGGCATTCCTTCCAGTTCTCTGCTGCCAATGACTGGAACGAACTGCAAAAATCTCTGAAACTGGAGACTCTTATCTCCCTCACTAACTTTAAGCATAATTTGTCAGAGCACCTTACTGATCACTGCACCTGTACACAGCCCATCTGAAATTAGACCACCCAACTACCTCATCCCCATATTGTTATTTATTTTGCTAATTTGCACCCCAGTATCTCTATTTGCACATCATCTCTTGCACATCTATCATTCCAGTGTTAATACTAATTGTAATTATTTTGCACTATGGCCTATTTATTGCCTTACCTCCATAACTTGCTACATTTGCACACACTGTATATATATTTTCTGTTGTATTTTTGACTTTATGTTTTGTTTTACCCCATATGTAACTCTGTGTTGTTGTTTTTATCGCATTGCTTTGCTTTATCTTGGCCAGGTCGCAGTTGTAAATGAGAACTTGTTCTCAACTGGCTTACCTGGTTAAATAAAGGCGAAATAGAAGGGATGGGTCCAGGTCAAGACCATTCTGGAGAGGAGAAACAGGAAAGAGGGATGGTGCTATGGAGGAGGAAAAGAGTAGATATGTTAGGAGCGATTGGTCAAGGCCAGCCTGGAGAGAAGCAGCAGAAAAACAGGAGAAATAAGGGTGGAGCTGCTGAAGATGGATGCTCTGGAGAAGTCACCATAAAAAAATACTCCTCGAATATTGGCAGGTTGTGAGCCACATGGAAATTAGTATCATGGAGAAGGAATGCAGAGAGAACTGGAAAGACATTGATTTTGCGGGGTATTTTATATTATTGCTGTGATCACCACTTAAGGCCGTCATTACAAATAAGAATCTGTGTGGTTACCTGCACAATAATATATACATATTATGGCAAAAAGGAGAGGAACAAGTGGGCAGAAGAGAAAAAAAAAGGTCAAAGTTGCAAACATTTACTGCAAGTGGACTGAATACTGGATAATCATTTATTTTACATTTATGTTCTTTTATTTCATTGTAATACTTTTTTACTTAATTGAAATATAAAACACGAATAAAACAAAATGTCTATGTACTCCACATTCATAAACCCTCAAAGAATGCTCAGAATTCTGAAATACAACAAACTCGTTTTCCCATGATGCATTGGTAGTTCCTTCCTATCTCGCGCCTTTCCATCTTGTTTCACCACAAGCGCTACAGACACAGCGCACCACCACGGTTGTTGTTATAGTAGTGAATAATGGCGGCAGCGGGTGGGGGTTTATCATCTCCAGCTAATGTCGCGGGCTCTAGCACTCCGGCGGTAGCACGGGCTCGTTTCCCAGGCCGACCATGGACATCTCGTAGTCGGCTACGATCAGAGAAACGTCCGCAGCGGGGAAGGTTGGGCTTCGAAGGTGGAGAGGTAGTCACTGGAGGCCCGAGGCCCATCAACATTGGACTAACGTTGAGCGAGGACCCGTCACTGCTGCGTTTACTCGGGATTGCTGATAAACATAGGCGCCAGAGAGACGCGGGTTTCTACTCAAGCGGGAGTGGAGAGGTGAGTTTCCAAGCCTTGCAACAGTCCCACACCACAGACCCAATTAACACGTGCATTTTCCACTGCCCTCGCTGTGTAATATAGATGATATTGAGAATCAAGTGTCTGATAACGTTCGTTACCTGGCTACAGTAATGT